CAGAACCAACTGTATGTCTGTGCCTGAAAACTTCTGCTACATTCAGTTTAATGAAGCAACAAAATACTTTGAGAGGAGAAGTGCCAAATTTTACTGCACTTTACTGTAAAGCAAGGGATGAAACTTTAAAAAAGTTTCCTTCCAAGTGAGGAACACAGCAACTCAGGTTTATTTCTGTTGTGTTTGTAAATTAAGATGGGTACGTCTCTATGACATTGTTACTCGGGTGATTTTGGACACTAACAGTACTCTGCATCTCTGCATGATGCATCTGAAAGGGTGTGAATTGGAAATAAAGTACACAAGAAACTCTTAACAAGTTCAAACAGTTCTGCTCCAAAAAAGATGACTATTTACTCCCACTGAAACTACAACAGAAACAAAGAGCACAATAACACTATTTGACAGAGCAAATTCTAAGCTACAGAATGCTATTTTTCAACATAGTCAATGGCATTATGAGCTGAGCATTTTCACCGGCAATGAATAAAAGCCTGCATGATGCTGTGCTCATGTAAATCTGCATGGCCATCAGAATGTGCCTTGCCTTTCACATTGCTTTAACCACTGCTGAAACACAACACTCAAAACCTCCATGTGCACAAATCCAGTCTTTGGTGTCCATAACATTCAGCAAGCATTCCACATGGAGGAATTCAGTGACGCATCTTTTCTTCATGCACGCTTCCGTGTCAGGAATCAATTTGTCAGACTGCCCCTCTGCTGCCATCTGTCACATGGCAACAAAATGAAATGGAATATTGGTGAGAAGGCTCAACTTTTACTGCCATACCACCAACATTCACCTCTGAATTGTGGGCTACCATAATAAAACAGGAGGCGTTACATTCAGAGAAGCCATTGCACATGTTACTAAGACAAATTATTTTTTTAATTATCTCTCATCTTCTTTAAGTCATTGGGCATGGAAAAATCTCCACTCAGAATATGAGGTGTTTTACAGTCAACAGATTGTAGGCAACATTCCCTACCTCACACTCCCTGTTGTTCTTACATTTACCTGGAAATTCTTTCACAGTTCTTCTCCTAAACAGAATGGTATTTGTAGACAAGTTTCCATTTCGCTACTTTTAAACTGATCAAAGCAATTCCTGTAATTATGTGAGCTTCTGGCAATTTCTGTACTAAAGCTATTTCATTTAAGTGCTGCTGTTCTTTTCTAATTTTCACTGTATCTGTCACTTATAAAAACTCAAATCAACATTTCATACATCCACTTTAACTGTGACTAGAGAAACAACTTACTGGTTGATTCTTTTGAAAAATCTACCCTAAACGAAAATGTATTAAATGAAATGACAAAGCATGAATTAGCATACCCTGATACCAATTAGGTAATCTAATGTTAATCTTACTTAACTCATAGCAATCATGGCATTGTTCACTTAGGATAAGGAACAAAACATGACATACTCTCTGAAAAGTGTAGGGATTACAACTGAAAATAATCAGAACAGAATATGAAACCAAAGTATTCCTAAGATTATCATACTGTATAAATATGCATGAGGCTACTAAATAGAAGATATGCTTTCTTATTTTATCTGTTTGTTTTCTTATCATTTGTCATGAATTATAACTACTCTACATTATCTCACTATATTCCCCCTCCATTCCCAATTTATGACCTTTCACTATGATGGGATTCTGTTTTCAACAAAACACACTGAAACTATTCAGGGGATGGATGTAGATATTTTGCATCATCAATTGAGATGGTAAAAAGGCTCAGCTCCAATAACTTTAACAGAGACAGTTGCCATAGTGCTCTCATCTGCATGTGTTGGAAATACATGTTTGATGTAAAGTTCAGAAAATCTGTGGATAAAATAATACAACTCCACTGCAGACAAATCTTCTTAAACTTTTGGATTTTTACAAGAAAACTAGCATTAGAACTGAAATTATACCATTTGCATAGTTCCCTATAACCCTAGATTCTTATCATAAATGCACCTAAACCTATTTTGAAATGGTTCCCAGTCCCTCAGACCTTCAGTTCTAACAATTCTCATTTTCTTCCCACAGCTCAGTCTCCTCAAACCCCCACACTCTGTCCTTAAAAATTCTCAGTATTTCCAGTCTTCTGAGGAGAAATGTATTCAGACTCATACAACATTTAACAAGTGGCCCTTGGAAGTCAGAGAGAAATCCAATCACCTGTATCATATTTCTGTTAGAAAGCATCGTCTTTGCTTTGGCTCATTCCAAGTAGCTCTTTCCCAGTAGAGGGAACAAGTTCTAAGATATTCAGACAAAAGCCACATTTATTCTTGAGGAGTAGTATTCAGTTCTCGGACTTCCTTTACTCAGTAGTATGGACATAGCCCAAACAGGCTCCAAACCCTGAAGGTTCCAGAGATTTCAGGAAAGCAATCTGCACACCAGAAGACTGCTTCCAAATTAAACCCAGTCCATCACATTGCATAGGACCACATCATATTCTTTTAGATTAATTAGGTAATTAAAAAGCTCAATCTGGCATTTTGATAAGTTGTTTCAAACAGGCTTATAAATATTTCTGAGAATATGTGGTCTGAGTACAGTCCTGTAACATGCAAGGATAAGCAGCCATAGAAAATAATTTAAATCTGAAATATCTCCATGTAAAGTGGAAAAAAAATTATGAAGTGACGTCAGGTAACTGGTATGGAATGATCATTGTTCAAGAGCAGGAAAAATGGTCATTTAAAACTGACAGACAGAGTCTGAGAATCCATGGCACTACCACTTCCCTAAAATTGTAAATTTTACATGAAGGAGCTGGATGCAACAGAATATGCCATTACTTTAACAGTACTGTTGCAGACATCAGCTAACAGAAGGTCTTTTCCTGGCCCTTATCTCTCTTGTAGCACACAGGGCGCTCCAAGGAAAGCTTGGTTGAAGAGTCCAGGCTATCAACAATAGGTAACTCTGATAACAGAAACTGGATTCCTCTACTCCAAATACTGAAGTCAAGTATTGGAGCTGAAGAACTGCTTTGGTTTTAGTAGTCTAAGACTAGCACAAATCCAATAGCAGTACAGAAGGAAAGGAATGACTAAATGAAGGAAGAGTTTCAGTAAGTATTACACTGACAATTTGCATGTGGCTGGTATCAAATATCATATAGCAGAATATATGAAGTCTGTGCAAAGATATACGAGAACATTATTTTTCTAAAAGCCCTACTTTAATATAGCATCTATCTTCTTTGATCCACGTTATTCTCTCGTCTCTTCTCATCCTTTCAGACCCTTTCATTTTAGTTGTTCATATCAAATTACCAAAATCTATCAACATTTAACTGCTGTTAATCTTGCTAATATCAGGAAGTTTTAGAATAGTTGCAGCTATTTTGTAATTTCAGGAGGTCATTTACATTCTTTATCATATATTGTTACTAAGACAGCACCAAACAGATGTGATTTTGCTATTCCAAACATTTTAATCTCCATATGGGAACAGAAATAAAGTGTATTTACTCAGGGCATTGTTTTGTAAGATTAACTGTATCCCTGGGGAGGTTACCCTGTATTACGACTACTGTTAATATGTTGCAAGTTTCACATATAGCCAAGATCTCGGCTGATTTAGATTGACCATTACAAGTGAATACAGTAATTTAAATGATTTGCTCTGTGTTCCTGTTTAAGGAAAAGAGAACTACTATTATGCAATTTGGTATGCCACTTTTAAAAAAGCAGCTTGTATAGAGCCTGTTTAGCACAAGTAGCTAAATTTGCTGAAGCCTAAGGCCACAGGTCTTGAACTTTTACCCAATTATAAGTAAGGAAGATCACACGGTCAGCTGGAAATGAGAGATAAGAAAGTAAGAAAGACAATATTGACAGTTTGTGAAACTTGGTAGATTCTACAGCCCTAAAGACAAGAGAAAACAGCTCACCTAGAGACAATGAAAGGAACCAAAAAAGAGAAGTAAAATCTACAACCCTAATATTAGTATTGGTCCGGACTGTTAGATAAAAGATTGGGAATGTAGAATGTAAAGAGTAATTGCTCAGGGATTTTTTTGTTGTTGTTCTGGGCACATCCTCAGAGGCACCCAGCTTGAGCTGTTACTACAACTTTAACTCTGCAGATTTTTTTTTGCTTGGATTATCAACATTGCAGAAACAGATAGACAAACCCCGTTATGGTGGCTGACTTGCATAATTTTTATAACAACTATGTAATACATATTTTTCTCTGTCATCAGCAAAATCCTTATATCATTTTTTCTGTCTCCAGATTGCTATTTATTCCCGGTAACTAGTAACTTGGTGACAGCAACTGTTTTATTTTTAATTTTATCTTTTAAAAAGCATAAATTTTAGCTCAGACAGAATATATGACCCTTCTAGACAAGGTGTATATATTATTTTTCGCCTGTGGTCGATTTTAAACTTACCACGCTCTTTGGATTTCTTATTCAGGTTTCTTTCAGTATTACCACTATGACTTTTCAAGCATGTGCTTGGATGCCACTGTGAATTTTATGTGTAGCAAAAAAAAAAAAAACAAACAAACAACAACAAAAAAAAAACTATCATATTCCAAACCAATGTGTCTATATATATATATATATATAAGCATTTTACATAATATAATATTTCTGATTGTCTATTTTCAGTGAGACTATCATAGAAATCCAGGGGATTATTTCATTCTATACCGCACACACCTAGAAAAACCTTGCCTCTACCTTAAGTGTCCAATCTGATCAGACAAACAAGGGACAACAAGTTAACTCTTAGGTCCAAATACTGATTGCTAGTGAGCCACTAATAAGAATGCATTGTTTTCTGAAAACAAAACCAAAAACAAACAAGCAAAAAACACCACAGAACCACCAAGAGCTATGGTGCTTTTTCACACTATTTCCTTTATCTCACTGAAAAATTCAGGTACACAGTGTGTTTTCTGACAGAACAGATTAGAGGTTGTCAGTGCAACTACTTTCTAACCAAGCCTCCTCAATGCAGAAATGTACTCACTGCTACAGAGGTGATGTCTCACATTGCTCTCCCTCCTCACTTGTCTCCATTTATCTTGCCATAATCCTACATGAGAAGGGGGAAGAGAAAGAAAGAAAATGTACATATTCTCTTTACAAAGCAGGACTTGTTTTCATAACTAGGAACACTGTGACACTCTTGAGATATACTCCTCTGCCTTATGCTTTATATAACATTTATATATCTTCAGTAAGTCCAGTGCTGTGCTCTGGAGTACTGTTATCCATATTGCAAAGGGACTCCATCACCAGACTGTATAAAAATTGATTCATAAACCTGCTATGGAATTGAAAACCTAAACCTATGATTTCAAAATCTAAATGTTAAACTCTGAATCATCACAATGTATTGCTATACAAGAAATCATGTGTTTTGCAGAAATACATCATACTAAGAATAGGTTGGTGGATTTTTTGTTTTTATGCTCATCAATTCACTAGGCAGAAGACAGACTCTGACTAGGATTTAACAAGTATGAACCAAAGTCTGCTACATTTTGCAACTAGCTTTTATCATTGATCGCAAAATATTTACTTCAATGTTTACATTGTCCTTCCTCATGTTTCTAAATTTATTTCTCTCTACACGCTAAACAGACTTTTATGGCTTTTCATGACAGTATTTAACCTGCTGAGTGAACTATATCAGTTCTGTTTCTACTAGTTTCTACTAGTACCAGCTTCTACTAGTTCAGTACCTTCGCCATATATAGACTATATATAGACATCTTTGTAACTTATACTGATGAGTTCCCTTATCACAGATATTACACTTGATCTTAGCCAAAAGGCCGAGAAGCAATCGTCCCACCACCAATATGTCCATTTCTTTAAATAAATTGCTAGTATCTTTGTGTGTGATAATATTGTTGGGGCATACATACATTCTGGATAAGATTGGGGAAGAGGATGAATTTAATTATTCTATGCTGAAAATCTCTTGGTTAATTTCAGTCTTGTCTTGCTCTCCTGTTGTTCTGTTTGACCTACTAGCATGATATGCCAAATTTTCAAAAGTCCATTCATGCTTCACTGTCACTTTTCTTTAAACATTATTAAAGCATTGATATTTAGAAATTCCAATTTAGTTAAAGGTGAAAGTCTGTTTTTTAAGTATCTGTCTTCAGAAATGTGATGCTTAAGCAGAAACATTAAAGTATCAAAGAGTGTCTGAATGTCAATTTTTGGAATACTGATAATCATCTGAACTTCTGACATCTGGCATTTTTCTCAACTACCTAAAGAATGTGCTTCTAAAGTGCTATTACAGTGGAGAACGTGACACAAGCTAATTAACACTAACAGACACAGTACTGATTTATCAACAGAGGGGAAACTTGTTATAAGAAAGAAAATTATTGGTGATTAGCATTTATAATCTTAGTTGGCTTGAAATGTGTACAAGGGCTGCTCCGAAAGTAACACCTCCTGTTTTATTATGTTGGCCTACAATGTCAGAGGCAAATTTTGGTGGCATGGCAGTAGAGGCTGGACCTTCTCACCAATTTTCCATTACGTTTTGTTGCCATGTGACAAGTTGCAGCACAGGGGCAGTCTGACAAATTGGCTCCTGACATGGAAGCGTGCATGAAGAAAAGGTGCATCACTGAATTCCTCCATGTGGAAAAAATGGCACGCACTGACATTCATCAATGCTTGTTGAATGTTTATGGAAACAAAAGAGTGGATCTGAGCACAGTGAAGCTTTGAGTGTTATGTTTCAGCAGTGGTGACAATGAAGTGAAAGGCAAGGCACATTCTGATGGCCATGCAGATTTATATGAACACAATATGCAGGCTTTTGTTCATTGCAGGTGAAAATGCACAGCTAATGGTGATGACTTTGTTGAAAAATAGCATTTTGTAGCTTAGAATTTGCTGTGTAAAATAGTATTCTTGTGCTCTTTGTTTCTATTGTAGTTTCAGTGGAAATAAATAGGAGACATTACATTCAGAGTGACATACATAGAAGGTTTGCACCTGTACTGTTGGAGGAGAAGAGAAATAAAAGGTAGCAGATGAAGTAGACACATTACCTCTTTCAAACATGTGCTGTCTGTCACCAACTCAGAAAGCCTGGCAGGTACATGCTACATGAGAGACCAGAAAAAGATATGGGGACAAAATAGAGAACTCAGTCAGCCTCTTCAACGAAAGGGATTTAACTGCTTTAAGTACATTGGCAGAAATAGCAGCAAAGAAAGCTATATATTTCCATTGCAATAAGCTCTGCTGATTGTTGCTGGATTGATAACCCTACAGGTTCTAACCATGAAATCCTCATTGGGTTGCCTCCTAGATTCACAAAGAGTAAAGAGTCTTGAATGATTGTAACCTAATCTAGCTTTCAGAAAGCAAAAGACTGGGTAAGCGAATCTCCTAAATTCGTCATTTACACTCCTGTAGTCTTCGAAGAGAGATGGACACAGAATAAGGCTATTCATCTTATCTATCTTGAGACAGAATAAATAGTTCTGTAAAGATAGTGATATCTCTGCACTGACTACAGAGTGAGCCTGATCGCTATCTTAGATTAGAGCTGTATATTTTTGATGGCTGAAATAAAATAAGATGAATATAAGCCAAAATGACTAGAATTTCTCGAAATCCATTTATTTTTCTTTTCATCTTGAGTAACTTGCAATCACCAGGAACAGTACAAATTACTACATTTTCTCTGCTCAGTAATTTTAATTCAATAACATTTCTTACTTAGTCTAATATGAATTTATTCAAAGATGCCATATTCTGTTCAAGAACAATAAATTCCTGCTCCGATTTCAACTGTTTAATTTTTGAAATAGATTATTTTAACCTCGCATCATCAATTATGCAGTGTTCCATTTTATTTAAAAAAATCTGAACAGTGGCCTGTAAGATGTAAAATTTCTGTTCATTAGTTCTCTTTCACTTTTTCATTCTATCTTTTTACCGGTAACAGTAATTTAAAAGACAGATCTACAGGAAACATCATATTGGAGAACTAGCATTAAGTAATTAGTGAAAAATGTTATTTTAGTTCAACAAAAAGGCTTTTAGCAACTTGCTTTTCATTGCTGGAATAACTTTCCTTTGTAATTTAGTACATCTCCTGCCTAGGCCTGTATTTCTCACTTTTACACCCCAGATGTATAAACCTCCCCTCCATCTTCCCCAGACTGACTTTGGATTCAAAGGCATGTGAATAGGAATTGCTCCATGTTCTTTCTGCTTAAGCTACTGCTGGTCAGCAATAAAGAACAAATAGAAGTACAGCATTAGCTACTTAATAGTAGCTAATTAGTTTGTGGCAGGGGTGCTGTGAGACAGCATAATGATGTACAGTTGGTACATGATAATCATAGAATCATAAAGGTTGGAGAACCACATCTCCCAGTGCCACATCTACCCTTTCCTCAAACAGCTTCAGGATCAGTGACTCCACCATCTCCCTGGGCAGTCTGTTCCAGTGCCTCCTCTCTTTCTGAGAGGAAGTTTTTCCTAATATCCAACCTGAACCTCCCCTGGTGCAGCTTGAGGCCATTGCCTCTCATCCTATTGCTGTTACCCAAGAGCAGAGGCTGATACAACCTTGCCACAGCCTCCTTTCCAGAAGTTGCAAACAGCAATAAGGTCTCCTCTGAGCATCCTCTTCCCCAAACTGAACAATCCTAATAATTAGATGCAATTCTAATTTGTATGTTATGATGCTGATATCTGAGCAGAATAGCTACAAAAGCTCAATATGCTGGGGTTCTTCTCTTTGCTTTGTGTTTACTGCAAGGGTCACATCCACACAGCCAGTAAATTAGACAAGGAGAAGTAAATGAGAAGTGGAGTGAATGGAAAAGGCAAAAGACATGTAAAAGAATAGGAATTTGATACTTTAAAACAAAATTCAATGCTTCATAATTAGTTTTTTAATATTATATTCAAACAGAAATCTAATTATTAATAATTCGATCATCAGGGCAATTTCTATACTGTAAATAGAGATTCTTGCTTAACTAATTAGTCTTGAAAGACCTGTTTTTGAGTGTACATTAACTTATTTTATTTTTTTTATTGTTGGGAATTTACCAAAGACAGTAGAGAGAAGTAGAGAGAGGCTTCTGTGTGGGCTTCTATTGGAACACTCCTAAAGGGTCGTCACGCTCTTACCTACCAGCTCACATTTAGGGATGAAAGTAGCATGCATGTGAATGCTGAGCTGCAAGGCTCAACACATCTCATTTAGTTTTTCTAACTGAACCCTAGCAAGGTATGTCAGGCCTCACGTGATTTTTGGCTAGCAGCCATCAGGTACAAACATGTGAGATTGTGAGGCTGCAGGCACAACCTTAAATGTGGGCCACTTCAGTAGTTAAAACATGTTAATACTGGTGTCATGGATGGTTAGCACCCCCCACAAACAGTGCTGGTAAGGGCAGCACTAGATCTCACTTGTTCATGCCCCTGTTTTCTTCCCTTATTCCCAACTCCTCCCTCCATAGAAATGGAGCAATTGCCCACAGGCTTTCTAGTATCATGGCTGGTTCTACAGTAGCATTTATCTAGAAATCACTCTTTCCAGGACTCAGCTGATGAAAGTGATGAAGCAGGTGCACTGCATGAGTAAATATGCATTGGCAAGATAAAGTGTCATTTCAGCTGAAGTTGTGATTCTGAAGCAAAATCAGCAATGTTAATTCCAGTTTCACTGAGCAGGGAGAAGTAACAAGGTTTGTCAAAGTGATGGTAATTTTCACTTTAAAGAGATACAAGAAAAATATTCTTCTGCAATCTGTACTCTGGTTTTATTTAGTAAAATATTCCATCGATTTTCTCTTAACAGACTTTAGGACTGAAAGGGTTTGATAGTCTGAACTTTACTGTAGTATATAATTGAAGACATTTAAGAAATTAACAGAATACCATGTGATGAATAAAGTCACTAAAAGATGGGCTTGAGTGACCAACATCCAGATCATTTGATCGTAGGTTTAAAAGTGCTTCCATTGAATGTGATCTGTTTTAATCAATGATGTGGCACTTTAAAAAGCCTTTTTTTCTTACGCTTAGAGAAAGAAGACTCTACATCATTTCCCTTTGTTGGGGCTGTGATAAGAGGGCAACATTTTTTAAAAACTAAGATACATACATACTTGCTCTCTATGACTGACTACATAAGTAGTCCCTTTGCTCCTGCAGTTCGATGTTCTTGCATCTATAAGCAGTGCTGTGCTTTGCGGGTCTCACAGTTAAAATGGGAACTGCTGTCACCTCAATTGTCACACTAATAACTGCACTATCCTTCATTCCCTGTACTGCAGGGTTGACATAGTATCTCAGAAGTTAACATAAAATAGCATGCCTCTAAGCTCTAGATTTTACAGCTGTCTCTTAAATGCAAACACCATACCCAGCCAATTAAGGATGAGACTCAACAACCCGCTGCCTAACTGCATGTGCCAAGATGAACTTTTCCAGTTGTGCTGACATATGAAGCCAGCATTGTAACTTGGGAGTAATATCTGTTCATACAATCTGGCATAACCAAAGTACAAAAGAACGGGTTCATTGCAAAAATTATCCACAGGAAAGTTATTCCTCTTTCATTTTCCTATAATACTGTCTCTTACAATATCTATTCTGGCATATGTATGCATAAAGACATTAATTTCCTCGTTTTAGCTTAATTAATATATGAAAATCTCAGCTGTATGTGTAGATAAGTTATAATACAGATGATACTTTTTTGATAACTTCACACCTCATACTTTGATGAAGCTTTCCAGCCTGGGTTGTATTTTAATTGCAACCAGATAATATATATTTTGATGCTCTTGTGTAAACATAATGACATAAATAACATAAATTTGTTTAAAAAAACTCAGTCATTGAAAAAGAAAGAAAAGTAGTTTTGAAGTCTTCTCATTCAGGATTACAGAAAATAGAAACAGCTCCAAGCTTGGATTCTTAGTGCACTCTCCTTAAAGTTCAGCTCTACACAGAGTTCAGTGTATAGTCTACATAAAGTTCACTGTTTTCAGAATATCAGTCTACAACTAAAACAAGACAGGGCTTTGTCCGGTTAATTCACTTAGTCTGGCAGTTTAAAGAATATAAAGATTCAGTGAAGTAAATACACAGGCCTGGAAGACAACTGAATTCCATCACTGATTTCAAATGGTACAGTTCCCACATGAGATACGCCTGCCAAACTGCAATCTAACATGGGCAAAATTTGAAAAAAACCCAAGAAAATAAGTGAATTGTGCAAGTCTTTTTAACTCATCAATTTGGCTGTAGCTCTCCTGGAGATTTGTACATCTTTAATCTTCCTGTAAGCAGCCAGCAAGTTTACCTGGCAATTCATGTTATCAAAAATAGCCTCTCACAGTTTGAACATTAACACAGGATTTTCAATGTGTGAATATCACCTCAGATAAGAACTTCAGTACAAGATTTCAGATATATATATGACCATCCCTGAACTCCTTATCTGATCAATACAACTGCCACATTAATGAAGAATTTACTGATGATGAATTATTTTCCAAAATCTATGAATTTCAGAAATACGGATACAATGTTATAAGTGTTTTGTATATTAGCATGCGTTTGGTAGCTCTTCTTCTTAACTGAGAGCAATACCATACACTGGGAACACCTCTATTTTATTTAGTTTTGAGGCCAAAAAGTAGATTTTCTTTTCCAAAATGTTTTGAGAAGTAATTCTCAAACTTACGTTGAACACCTACCCATTAATATATAGCTTCTAAGCAGTCATCAGCAGGCACACATTACACTGCTGATAATTGCCACTGAGAGACATAAAGAGGGAGGGATGAATACTTTTGAATGCTCAAGTATTTTTCTGTTATAACATCATAACTCTGTATAATAAAACATAGGCAAGGATGCGTACATTTCAGTTCTCACCAACTGAAAACTCTAACACTTTCCTGCAAGAGAAACCAGTCAAAGCAAATGCAGTGGACAACAAGAAGTGTTCTTGGTTGAAACATGGGGTTCTGCTGTGTTCATAGTAATTACGTTGTACTCTGGTCACAGCCCTGCAGGAGAGTGTTTCAAACTGAGCTCATCCCAGTCATATTAAAGAGCCTAT